TACAGCACTCGTGCTACCGACTTCTGTTCTGTCCCACCTCTCTTAGGTTACTTTTTACTTTACTTTGCTACGGCTGGCTCCTTGTAAAGGATAAGCCGGCTCCCTTAGCTTCACTAACCAACGACACCCCCCATCTTTTGAGCCACAACCTGGAAGGCGGATTGCACCAAGCGAAGCCAAAGCTGCAGATAGCTTATTCGTACCTCTGCGGCATGTCGTGGTCTGACCACCGCGACGCCTCTTTTACCTTACCCAGCATGTGCAAAAAAGCACGGAAAGGTAGACGACCAACAGGTGTATGCAAATCGTGGCCAGTCCGTCGGAGACAGCGTAGAGCGATCACTTCTTTTAGAGAATGACTATCCGCACCCAATACACGACGGCGGACTATTGATTGAAAAGCCAGGTAAGTTGTGAGCATTTTCTGAATGGTTTAATTGTTAATTTACTTATATTTGGCACGCATTTTTGCACCTACCAAGTGCAAAGTGCTTTCGCACGTTTAGCTAGGTTCAGCTCCCTACCTTTAACAGGAAGGCAATAGAGAAATTCGACAAACTTTGCTGTTTGGGAAGGCACATCTCACCTTGTGCATCATAGATTTAATGTCAGCACCCATACCTAATACTCGATTGGCGTCTTCCGAATTGAGATATTAATGGCATCGATGCGACATTTGGTTACCTACAAAGGGTCGCGCATATAGTGCAGTTGTCCTACCGGTACACCTGTATGATGGACAGACATGATCATTTAGGGAACAAGATAAAAGACAGACCATCACGCGATAGCCGAAGGTCACACAGACTACAACAACCCGAAGATACTCCAATTCAGATTTCGAACATGCACTGAAAGGTCGTATGTCGAAGCTCTGGCCATTAACACTCACTTTGAATGTGTCAACAGAAAGGACGGAATAGAGATCCCGAGCATTTGGATTACCCTAACATCACTAACGCGTAATCACAGTAAAAGGTCATGGTGCCACTTGACCTGATAATGGGAGTTAGTATGACAGACAACGAATCATTCAGGCCACCACACACGCACAATGAAATATCCGTTGACTTGTGATCCTTTCCCCTGAATCAGTTGATTGTAAAACCTGCTTTGAGAAAGGCTACCCACGGTAACGGAAACGTCGGCGAATATAATTCTCTGCCGATATAGCTGTTATTAACATTATAACATTCACAAAAGAAAACACAGCACATAGCGCGTCGATTTTTCGATGCACTCCTGACATCATTTGGTTATGATGTATCAGCAAACTATCAATGTTTAAACACTGCTGCTTACGTGACGTTGTTCTGGTCTGGTGGGGCAACCCGACGAGTAATGGTGAGGTGAGGCTAAAATTTTCAGATAATGGAGATCATGCATTTTAGCAAGTGATTGATCTTCATGGATTACGGTGACTGACGCGTACTGTTTGTCAAGGCACGTAGTGGGTGGAAGTGGATCAGAAGAGGTCATGAGTGACATGAAGGTATCAAAACCCTAACCAGGGACTTTGGCAAATAGGCCGCATAAGGCCTCCCAGTTGGGTATTGCGAGATCAGTCTAATCCCTGAAAAAAGACAACTATTTACATGGTTGAATTTTGCTGGCAGTGGTATTTCCGTACTCGCTCAATTTCTTCACAACTTTAGTTTAACTACTTCTTGTTTCCTTACCCGGGTACTGTTCCCAGCTTTCTACTTCTAATTTATTTCATCTAAACGGGCAGCCCAAAGTCAACAACCAAAACCTCTGCAAAACATATGTGATCATTCTAAGAATTTCCATATAGTTACTGAAATCTGTCACTAGTTATGGTTTGGAGATAATCAACGTGGGTTGTGTGGAAGCTCGAACACATTTATGATGATCCGTTCTCCGGTTACTGAATGCTCGAATGCATCAGTGCACTGACCGCAACACATACGGTATAGGCATAGCCGAATGGGTCTCGTGAACACATAACCATTAGTCGACGAGGGTGACGGTTGGGAAAACCCATACTGGTTCCCTTTGGGTATCAGAATCAAAGCAGATCAGTCCATTTTTGACTGATTTGTGCTTTCAAATCGTTTTGTACAGACATGCAAATAAATGTGTCTGCATTTCAATTAAAAGTGTGTTCACCGTCACAATAGGATCAAAGATGAAAAACAATCATATACGAGAATGATAGAACGTAAAGAAACGATCATCTTTGTAGATTAAAAACTATTTGGTTTAGAATGTTCTTCTTGTCAGTTAGAATATGAACAAAATAGGGTAGGGAAAAGAATCAACTTGGATAGATTAATTCATCGTCTCGATGAGGTCTGTTACCATGCTCACTGGGTGAATTACAATGCTGAGATTAACGATTAATTTTAACTGAGTCTAATCACAGTGTGCGTGAGGCTTTCCGTCTTCTCCATAGGGTCAAAGGAGGGCTTAAGAGGTATAATCTCGAATTTTACCATTAGTCGAAACGATTACCATCCGTTTTTACAACGCTCCTCCTTTTGCACCCAGAATCAGCTTGTAGAAACACTGGTCTCACCATGGTCATTCACTTGCAATCTAAGTTCATAAACTCATCCAGTGATTCACCCTTTCATGCCTTCCCTCGTCCAGCTTATGTATATATATACTAATTGTCTCAACATTTTCATTATAAAGTCTGATTTCCTTCGCAGTTACGTTCCTCTCACCATCTGTTTATTCTCTTTTAAATTTTACTGGATTTGGCACAAAAGGCTCGTTTCCTAGGGTAAGGTTTCATGAAAATTCAGTGGGGAATATTTTCGCATCGCGATCTGTTATTCCGATGCATTTTCAGAATATGCCATTTGAAATGGGATTGAAAATGCTTAAAATAATCCACAGATGAACTGGACTGAGAATGTTAGACAAGTTTAAGAAATCGCGATATACAGAATTAGTCTATGGACACTAAAATTCATACAGTACTTCCCGTGGAAAGTTACTTCACTTTTGTACATAGGAAGCATATCATCAAGGGAGAAGTTTCGATTTGTGGTATTTATGATTCCCATGATCAGAGATCCTGACGCTAATGTGAAAGAGAACAACAGGAGACTTACTGCCATATCCTTCGTGACCTCTCCTGAGTTTGGGTTTTGTCTTTGTGCCGTGTGTGATCGATAGACGGGTGCGGAAAATGTGCTGGCCATTTGAGCTTGATCGACCGCACCTGATGCGTAGTCGTTTGTCGTTACGCTTATAGATTGTGCGGCCAGTACTGCTGTCTGACTGGACCTCAGTGGAAGTGGGCGCAATTCCCAAGCCTGTAGAGAGATATTCACAAGAATGCATACGATTTCATAGTGATGCTGGACACGGTTAACTAGATGAAGCTTGAAAAATCACACAGATGCAATTGTTCCTCTGTCTTGCCTCATTCACTGAGTTTTGTGGCTTCCAATGCTTTTCTTCTTTGTATTTTCGTCTGCTGAGGTTATCACAGAATCTACTTCACAATACCGTTTTCCCATCTATCGCATTATTTTAAAACGTTTCACTTTACATGGAAGGGTTACAAAGATGGATTGCACGGTCTATTCACGATCATTTCTTTTTTACTCTTCTTTTTCATTTTACTTCCTTTTGTTGAATATACAAAGATACAATTTTCAGGAAGAGGGAAGCGGCCAATCAAAGGGCTGCCTCATCTGTAAGCATGTGTTATTATTAAATAATATTATTATGTTTCTCACCAATATTAGAAACACATACAGGTTTGGTGTTTTAGAAACCAGTAGACGACGAATTTGAAACTGGCAGGCTCTCTCCCGACTAAAGTATGCTCGTGTCTAGATGCAGTAAAATGATCATGGATACACTGTGAGAACTCATATTTGTGGCTTCTCGATTCGAATTTCTGTCCGTTTAGTTTACCGTACTGTAAAACAAGGGTGCTCCTACACCTGGCAATATAACGCCGATTGTGATGCTCATTTTTATGTACTGAAAATATCTGACATTTTAAGATTAATCTCTCGTAAATTGGTATGAATGCTTTTCTCACAGAGCGGCTGACAAAACACATCAGATCCTGGAACAGGTGTGAGTAGTTTACAGTTGTATAAACTGATTATTTAGTTGAATCGGATCGGACGTGTAGTGTGATGTTTTACCTCAAAAGGGGTAATAACGAGCTTTGGTACGTTTGGCAGGCGCAGGCTGAAATGGCTGATTGTTTGATTCGTCCGGCAAACCGTGGGATCAGTGATAGTAGATGTTGCTTTAGTCTTGTTTCATTAAATCAAATTTATCTGTTTTGTGGAATTCATCCAACGCGAAAATGAAACTATCACCTTTTGTATGTGCCTCTGATCGAAGAAAACGTGGCAAGTTTCACAAAAGAACACCTCTCATTGTTTTCACCATGGTAGGTTTGGGATATACTTTATCAGGTCGTCTGAAATCAGGAAAAGTTTTGTCCAAACACAGAACACCACACTATCCTAGGTGAACTCAAATTGCTATGTCACGTTGATTTTAAAAACTTATGAGAACAATGTCCATGGCTGACTTTTGGGCATTATCTGTTGAATGATGCGATAATTGTCCGTAAAATACCATTTTGCTGATTTCATAACACGTTTCACAAATACATACATAAATATATTATGACTACCGTTTAGTAATTCGCTTCATCCGTCAAAGTCTGCATTGAAATCAAATCACAAATTGATAGTTCTTATTTGTTCTCCGAATGAACTACTAGGAAAAAACATCATGTTAACACAGGTTCACAGGCGCATTATATCAGACGTGTACAGGAAACTCACCTGAAAAGGCATGTTAATGTGAAAATCTTGAAATATTGCCATTGTGCCAAATACACTGGTACGCATCACAATCAAATTTTCGTCCTCTTTGAAGTGTTCCAATTCGATGCCACTTTTACGCCACTGATTTACCTCCGGATCCCATCGTGCCAATATGGGTTCTTCTGCGATCACTAGGCACAGAGGTAATCTGTGTTTCATAGAATTTGTGGGATGAAAAGTGTCACTTA